TGATGTGTCTATTGCGAATGATCGTTGCGATATCAATCGTGAAATAATATAATGTGCAGCTCTATCATTACCTCTCTAAAAGTATGAAACTGTGCTAAGAACTATACAAGAAAAATAATGAGGTCAGTTTAGAGAAAGCGGGACGCAAAGACTCACCCCTCCTTCAGTCGGGCTGGCGACCCATGCCAGCTCTCCTTGCACTGATCTGGAATCCAGCAGCGTGACTGAAGGAGAGAAACACAGAGGACTTGTGAATGAGATCACCAAAGCCTGACAGTCTCAACCATATGGATAAAACTCATCTCTTCTCAAACAAATAATGACAACAGATGCAGCCATGGCCAAAAGCTCACTCAAAAAAAAAAAAAAAAAAAAGACAATTGCTTTTTGTTCAAACTACTTATTTAAAATGAACTGAACACAACACAATTCTTGAGGGTTTTTTTTGGAACAACTTTGTTCAATCCACTTAAATTTGTATTATTTAATATAAGTTAATTTAATTCCGTCATGTTGCCTCATCGTCAACTGTGTGAAACTCAACATTACAGTGCTGACACAACATTATCTGAAAAGAAATATAGCTAATTAATAAAATATCTATTGCTAATAATACAAACGTTATGTTGCAAATGTTACAAACTAATAAATACCTCAAATGTTATCAAAAATCACACTGTTTATATAAAAAAATGAGGTAAACGCTGTCTTCAAGTAGTCTAAACGACCAAGAAAAGCTCAAATTAATTTTAAACCACCATCAGTGTTTGTAATGAAGTTTAATATCATACATAGTTTGTTTATAATTTCAAATAAAAAAAACAATTAGCAATTTTATGAACGCAAAATAATTATGTCTAGAATCCAGATCATATTTACATAAAATAGACATCTGACATTATAAATACTAATCAAACACGAAAAAGAAGGGTGAATAAATAAATAACATATCAAAAACGTAATATGTAAATAAATCTTCAGTATATCTCTATGTTATTGAGATAAAGTTGGTTTTATATTTGCACATTCGTTCAGTGTGACATGCTCCCTATATTACTGAGGTAAAGTTGGTTTTATATTCACACATTCAGACTTTCTCCTTAATAATATAATTTCAGAAAATTATTGTTTGCTAATTCTAAATATTGAAATTACATTAACTGACATGTCTATCAGAGTGCAACATGTTTACAGTCAATTAAAAAGTGCTAATGTTGTTTTTTAGTCATACGTACATGTGATTTTAGACTAAATATTCAAAGTACCATGGTAAACAATATAGGGAGTGTGTCAATGTGTTCAATGTGTTAATATAAAACTAACTTTTCCCCTTTCCTTATATTGTTTAATAGGGATAAATTTGGTTTTTTATTTACTCCCTATATAATTATATATAGTATACTATATAGTATACTATATTGATTACCATGGTACTTTGAATATTGTCTGAAATCACATGTAAATAAACATTACTGCGATTACATGACTGTAAACAATGCTGTAATTTGATAGTCATAGGATGATAATATGATTTCACAATTTAAAATTTGCTAAGAATATTTTTGTGAAGTTTATTATTTGGAATAAAGTCCAAATGTGCGAATATAAAACTAACGTTACCTCAATCTCTATGTTAAGTATGAAGAGTAATTAGCTATACGTTGTTAATTGGTAATTGTCCTACTGAGTAACCTACACATCAGGTGCAACAAACCGATTACTACAAAACACACTTTATCAAAAACCTTACTACAAAAATGACTTACAATTATAAATATATGCGTTTTGTTAACATATTGTGTTTGTTATGGTTATAGACACATTGATGGACGCGCGCGCCCGAGTTTAACTTAACTCCTAAACTTTTCCAATTTATTCAAAGCACTCTTACCTTCATTCGCCGGAGGACTCCTCGGAGCGGACAGACCTGCACAAATCCCCAGGAAAAGCGAGGTGAGAGCGTAAATAATCCCGGCCATGAGCGCCATTCGTGCTGTAAAATAACTGTGTCTCCGTTATTCCTGTTTATTCCTCGTGCTGTCCCGCGCGACTGATGATCATCTCTTGACGAGACGCGCACTCAACGGCGGCGAGCTCTGCTGGAGGGGGCGTGGCGTTCTGGAGTGACGTCACTAACAATCAAGCTAGAAGCGGTCGATAAATTGATTCAAATTATTACTAGTCATGTTTTTGTTGTGTTTGCAGGTGTTCAATTAGATTAGAAATGCGTATAGCTGAATACAGTTGCAAATATTACTAATAAATATATTACTTGTTTAATATTTATGCGTATTGTTATCAAATTCCAAACAAATTATTCAATATTATTGTGACATATAATATAATTTGTATTGTATCCATTCATCCTATTATATTAGGATAAATAAATCCATTTATGTATTCAGGCGACAAATAACAACAATATAACAACAAATAACGACAATATATTCCCAGCTGCTTTGTGTTTTTAATCTTACAATGGCCTTAAAACATAAAACAGCAACTATTATATTAAAAAATAAATAAAATGAAATATTTTTTTCTTTTAAATTCAATGATCTTAAATATTATTTTATTAAATTGCTTATGGTGATTAGAATGCACCATTACCAATAGCAAAATATGTTCATCTCTCAGGGTAAAAGCAGTCATGGTGCGGATAACTGCACTTTGGATAAAACAAACACAAAAATGACAATATATACATATTCCAAGCCGCTTTTTTTTTCATTCTTGCAAAATATAAGGGAAATCAAACAGTCTAAAAACTGAAACTAACACTACTTAAAAAAAAAAAAGAAATTCTATTTTCTTTTAAAACTGAATTAGAAATAGCAGAAATAGCATATTCAGTAAATATTCTATCTACAATCAATATATTCTCAATACAATCAATATATATTATCTATATATAATCAATAATCTAGATGTATATACAATAATTACAACGGTTAAAATACAGATGATATATATATATATATATATATATATATATATATATATATATATATATATATATATATATATATATATACACAACAATATTTAACACTGTTAAAATAGAAATGTGATACATCTAATATGTATGAATATATTTGAATGAATATATCTTTGTTTTGACTGTTTTCAATATTGCTTAAATATGTAATAAAAAAGTGATTGAATTTTATAAAAATACAAAGAAAACATATGACTTTCTTATAAAGGAATTGTAATGCACTCTAAAGATCTATTATAATGTGAATTATAATAATTAATGCTTTTTGGCCTGTGTATAAGCTATCTATTATAATTTGATAATTAATTAGAAATATAATAAATATATTAATAAAAGTAATATGTGATCATTCTAAGTAATGTTTTAAAATATATTAACACTAATAGAAGAAGTAGATCCTGAGACTAATGAATTATTATGAACACTCTTTTGCCGCCCTCTTGTGCTCACTTCTCGATACGACAGGCAAATAAACGGCATAAATGCGCCCACAAGCCGACAAATTCCCCATGAAGTGTTCTCTTGGTCTTACGGTTCTGTCACCCAAACTTTTACGATTGAAGATAAGACACAATTAAACCTCAATGAGTCGATATTAGGCTGTTTGTGACGTCAAAGACACTAGAGGGGCTCAATACAGTCACCTGCGGCACTCCAAACTCATTCCTCATCTCACCGTGGAGTAAATTATACCCATTGACTGAATTCCTGGCGCCTCTCCTTCATATGGTCTCTTATCCTCTGGTTAATACAGTAAATGCTGCAGGGAAATATTTGTTCTTCAGCTGTTTGAAGCCAATAATTTCCATGAATGAGGTCCTGACCTGCATTGAGACTCACTGCGGGTGTGGATGAACAGCAGCTGACTTCAACTCTGACTCAAATCAGTAAGTTCAATTCCGACTGAACCCGAATGACAACTGCTGAGAGGTGAATATATATGTTGCTATTGGTAATGGTGTTTTCTCAGCAACTTTAAGGATTTTTAATTAAAAGTTTATAAAATAAAAGTAATATTAAAGGTCATTGGAGTTAGTTAGATTTTTTAAAATTAAGAATATGTATTAGTTTGTTTATTGTTGATCTCCTAGACTCTTGGGGATTTTTTTTTTTTTTTTTTTTTTTTTTTGTGTACTGACCAGACAAAAGTGGAGCTTTTTGGAAGGTGTGTGTCCCATTATTCAAATTCAGAAAAAAAGACATCATGCCAACAGTTAAATGTGATGGGGTAGTGTGATTGTCTGGGGTTGTTTTGATGCTTCATGAACTGGAGGACCTTCTGTGATAAATGAAACCATGAATTCTGCTGTGTACCAAAATATCCTAAAGGAGAATGTCCAGCTACTGTATCTGTTAGTCAACTCAAGCTGAAATGAAAAAAAATTAAGGCTTTGGAGTGGCCTAGTCAAAGTCCTGACCTGAATCCAATTGACATTCTGCAAGGTGACCCTATAAAGGCAGTCCATGCTCTAAAAACCTACAATGTGGCTGAATTACAACAGACTCGTAGCAAGTTATAAGAAATGCTCGACTGCAGTTGTTGCTTGGTGAGACAAATTTTTAGGTTTAGGAGCAATCACTTTTTACACGGAGCTGTGTAGTTTTGTAATATGTTTTCCTTCAATAATAAAAATCCTAATTTTAAAACTGCATGATGTGTTTACTTGTGTTATCTTTGACTAATTTAAATTTGTTTGATGATCTGAAGCATTAAAGTGTGACGAACATGCAAAAAATCAGTCAGGGGCAAAGATGTTTTCACACCACTGTATATGAATCTTAAAAACTATGTTGTTTTAATACAACAATAAGCAGATAAAATAAACATATACTATAATCATAATTCAAAATATAAATACTTAGAAATTTTAGAGAAAATAATTTTATTATTATTACTATGCATGTATTTATATATAAAAATGCATATTAATATAACTGAAATTATTCCGTGGTTTAAGTTATGATATTGTCACACTGTTCAAAGAAGACGTGGAGACCCAAATGCAAGCGACAATATTTATTAAACTAGGTGGGACACAGAACAAAGAGAAGCTGGCTGGCTGGAAGTAAGGTGTTCACAAGAAGAAGATGAAGGGGTAAATAGTTCTCCGTCTGCAGGGCGAACAATGTTCATCGGGGAGATCTCAATCTCCGTCAACAGAGCGAATCAACAGTTCATCGGGGAGAACTTCAATCTCCGTCAACAGAGCGAATCTAAAGTTCATCGGAGAAAACTTCAACCAGCGAACAACCAGCGAACTCAACGAGGAGAGCCTGACAAAGACACAGAGACAAGTGAGGATAACGAACTGACAAGGTGAGACAGGAACGCTGAACATTTATAGCCACAGTAATGCGCTACACCTGGAGCGCAATAATCAGCTGAGCGGTGCTAGGCGACCGATGACCATGATCATGTGACCGCCCAGCTGATGACATGAACACAACAACAACACTGACAGCCACGCGACTCTCACACAAACACAGAGACAAGCGCACACACACCGCAAACCCAAATAAACAATTCACACCACGCAGACACATCATAGAAGAGCAGATAGATCCACAACCGTGACAGATATAATCAAAGTGCTCAAATATAGCAGAAAGCAAAAGCGAGCTGTTGTAACGGAGGCCGGCCAGTAGGTGCTGTGGCGCCTGTTTACTGGCTTAAAAAACAGACCTATTAAGAAATTTATCCTACTCAGTGTGGGAAAAAGCTGAGTAAAATCTGAAGTTTTGTTGCACATTTTGTTATGACCCTTAACCTAACATCACTTGTTGCAAAACCTTAAGTTCTGTTTTGTAAAAGTTGGTTGAGTTTCAATAATTTAGCATTTTTTTCATATCTTCTAGTGTTACTTTAAGAGGAAATGCACAGAGAATATCAATCATATGATATTATCGCTTATCATAGGTCTGCAAAGTCTACATTATAAATACATACTTGCAATTAACACAAATTAATAAAATAAAATGATTTTATTAAGCACAGAAGGGGTGTTCAGGAATAATAATTCAATGAAGTGTGTGTTTGGTGAGATATTCTTATTTCATAGCCCATTGTGCTGTATAAAAGGTGTTTTGTGAAAGATACAATGTGAGCTGTGAATCAGTCATTAAGATGCTAGCCTTTAAGCAATGACAGAAGCATTTTCTGGAAATACAAACGCATTGATTTCCTTTTAGGCAGACAGAAAGAATCAACTATTTTTGTGTTTTTTTCCACACAGTTCTTACATTGCATCCCATTACTGCTGTCACACCGATAAAGAGGCACTTGGTCGTAAATCATTAGCAGATCTTTTGCCATGTCCTTCCTCCATGCGTCCTTCTGCCAGATCTTTCCAAAGACAAACACATTCATTGCATCTTTACGGATATTTTTCCAGTTTGCAAGGCCAGCCAAAATGTTGTCAGTGCTCTGAATGCACTTCGTCACACAAGGTGAGTTGTACGAGTAGAAAACTACACAGCTATTCGGATCTGCCTTTGCTAGAAGTTTATCCATGGGAGAATTACTGAGAGGATAGAGCAGAATATGCTCAGCATGCTCTTTGGGTTTTTGTGTAGGCCGTGCAGCAATGACATTTTGTGAATTTGTACAGAGAACACATGTCTGTCCATTAGTGAGAAGGTCTTTCACATGTGCTGCTTCTTCTGTGCTGAATACAGTCTGGATGTCAGATTGTTCATCTGTGCATAGAGCCTGTGGCACAACAATCGCTATTGCGTACTGAACATCAGGCTTGGTCTTTGGCTGGACACTGGAAAACATCAAACAGCATAAAATTATCATTATTTTCACGGCATTTTAATAATAGTGAGGTTCTATTATTAATGCATCAACTAATTTGAACAATGAGCAATGCCTTTCTTAATGCGTTTATTGGGATTTGTTCAAATTAATTTATGTTAGTACAGGTAAATAATGTTGTAGTAATGCTGGATATTGGTCTTGTTATCAGGAGGAAGGAGACGGAGAACCGACGAATCTTTAGATTTCTAATTTATTGATTTTCTAAACAAAAACAACATAACTGTCCAGGGGTCCGTTCTTTGTACGTGGATTACTCAGTTAGCTGGATTTGGATGTTGACGATTTGACATGATCCAGGATCGTTTCGTTCTTCAAAGCTGATCCGAGAGTTGTTGTCATAGCAACAGTTCTGCTAGGTCAAACCTGATCAGGAGCAGGTTCAATTCATATAAACAGGATTAGATCGGGTCAGTTCAAGCAAACATAATACAGAAAGTATGTACCGAATTCTGATATTTCTTACAGTAGTAGTTATATACACTTGGGAAAATGGTACATATTTTTTAACTATATATATATAAAGTTATAGTCATTAATAAAATAAATAAAGTTTTACATATTAATAAAACTTATGCAATCTGCACCCCCGAAATGAAAGTACAAAGACTACCATCTGGTGCAAAGAGAAAACTTATTGATATGAACTTTTTAGATCACTTAAGTACAAATTGTGTATAATAGAAATGCACAATATGTGACTTTTTTTTTAAAGCAATAATACATTTATGCAGTCATAAACATATTTTGATAGTTAATATGCAGTGATTTGATGCTTCACAAAAGTTGCAGACACCTTTACCAATATGAAAACGCTTTTTTTTTAAACAACCAGTTATTCTTTACACCGATTAAAAAACGACTACTATAAAAAAGAAAATATTTTCTAAATGTGGAACTAAATATATTGATTTGCATTGAAATACATGATAAATACTCTTGACACATGAAAGTGTAAAGCCTGCAGCTCACAACACATGTGGAAGGTTATTGCGTGTCATATTAAACAAGTCGTGTACTGCTAATTTGATGTAATTTTGCTCACATGGATAATTGAATATTAATCAGATGATGTCATTACGCTGCTGTGCCGTCAGCCAATCGTTGCATTGCTGATCATGATTTCGAGAATCGATAGATCTGTCCTTCACAACACATGCAGCGATCTCAGATCAGTTTATCCAGACATTCTAATCTGATTCGCGAACTCGTTTGAAGAACCAAATTAGCGAGAGATCAGTTATCAAGATTAAAAGATCCGGGATCTGCCAAATAATCTTAGATCATTTAAGCGAGGTACGAAGAACGGACCCCAGGGGTCCGTTCTTCGTACGTGGATTACTCAGTTAGCTGGATTTGGATATTGACGATTTGACACGATCCAGGATCGTTTCGTTCTTCAAAGCTGATCCGAGAGTTGTTGTCATGGCAACAGATCTGCTAGGTCAAACCTGATTGGGAGCAGGTTCAAATCATATAAACAGGATTAGATCGGCTCAGTTCAAGCAAAGATAATACAGAAAGTATGTACCGAGTTCTGATATTTTCTTACAGTAAAAGTTATATACACTTGGGAAAATAGTAGTTTTTAACTATATATATAAAGTTATAGTCATTAATAAAATAAATAAAGTTTTACATATTAATAAAACGTATGCAATCTGCACCCTCGAAATGAAAGTGCAAAGACTGCCATCTGGTGGTGCAAAGAGAAAACTTATTGATTTGAACTTTTTAGATCGCTTTAGTACAAATTGTGTATAATAGAAATGCAAAATATGTGACTTTTTAAAAGCAATAATACATTTATGCAATCATAAACATGTTTTGATAGTTAATATGACGGTGATTTGATGCTTCACAAAAGTTGCAGACGCCTTTACCAATATGAAAATGCTTTTGTAAACAACCAGTTATTCTTTACACCGATTAAAAAGCCTTCTATAATAAAGAAAATCTTTTCTAAATGTGGAACTAAATATATTGATTTGCTTTGAAATACATGATGAATACTATTGACACATGAAAGTGTAAAGCTTGCAGCTCATAACAAATGTGGAAGGTTATTGCGTGTCATATTCAACAAGCCGTTTACTGCTAATTTGACGTAATTTTGCTCACATGGATAATTGAATATTAATCAGATGATGTCATTATGCTGCTGTGCCGTCAGCCAATCGTTGCATTGCTGATCATGATTTCGAGGATCGATAGATCTGTAATTCATAACACACGCAGCGATCTCAGATCAGTTTATCAGACATTCTAATCTGATTCGCGAACTTGTTTGAAGAACCAAATTATAATTTGCTATAGCGAGAGATCAGTTATCAAGATAAACATATCCAGGATCTGCCAAAACATTTTAGATAATTTAAGTGAGCTACGAAGAACAGACCCCAGGGTTCCCTTCTTCGTAAGTGGATTACTCAGTTAGCTGGATTTGGTTATTTACGATTTGACATGATCCAGGATTGTTTCGTTCTTCGGGAGCAGGTTCAATTCATATAAACAGGATTAGATCGGCTCGGCTCAAGATAATACAGAAAGTATGTACCAAATTCTGATATTTTCTTACAGTAGTAGTTATATACACTTGGGAAAATAATAAATATTTTTTAACTGTTTATATGAAGTTATAGTTAATAATAAAATAAATAAAGTTATAGATATATTAATAAAACTTATGCAATCTGCACCCTCGAAATGAAAGTACAAAGACTGTCACCTGGTGGTGCAAAGAGAAAACTTATTGATATGAACTTTTTAGATCGCTTTAGTACAAATTGTGTATGATTATAGAAATGCAGAATATGTGACTTTTTCTAAAAGCAATAATACATTTATGCACTCATAAACATGTTTTGACAGTTAATATGATGGTGATTTGATGCTTCACAAAAGTTGCAGACGCCTTTACCAATATCAAAATGCTTTTTTAAACATCCAGTTATTCTTTACACCGATAAAAAAACGGCTACTATAACAATGAAAATATATTCGAAATGTAGAATTAAATACATTGATATGCATTGAAATACATGATGAATACTCTTGACACAAGAAAGTGTAAAGCCTGCAGCTCACAACAATTGTTGGACCCCCAGGGGTCCATTCTTCGTACCTCACTTAAATGATCTAAGATGATTTGGCAGATTCTGGATCTTTTCATCTCGATAACTGATCTCTCGGTAATTTGGTTTTTCAAACAAGTTTGCGAATCAGATTAGAATGTCTGGATAAACTGATCTGAGATCGCTGCGTGATCTCTGCAAAATTCTGTATATATTTTCAGTATTAGCTTTGCTTGAACTGACCTGATCTAATCCTGTTTATATGAATTGAACCTGCTCCCAATCAGGTTTGAGCTATCAGAACTGTTGCCAGAACTGTTGGAAACCAGAGCACAACACTTTTTTTACATTGGTGAAATAAGCATATTATACCTAAACTATTTATTTATTTACTTTTTGGTATTTATAAACTCAATAGTTTGCATAAGCATTTTGTTATTTGAATGAATTCGACTCTAAACTATGAAAAATTAAGAAGTTGACTTACTTCTCATCAAAATATTGGATCATTTTAGCAAGGGCAGCAGGGTTCACATCACCCCGAGCATGTTGAACACACAAATGAAGCAGGAAGATGATGAAGAGACCCTTTAGTGATGCCTAAAATCAGTAAAAACATCAGTCAGACACTAAACTTTAACTAATAATGTGTACATAATCATCTGATAAATCGGATCGGGACTTGTGGAGCTGCAAATCGATGGATTTGCTCTTCAGTGTTTGGAATTTCAGCAGTGAATATTAAACCAAATTAAACTGAACTTCAACTCTGAAAACTTTACTAGAACTTCTATATTAAGCTGCTTTGACACAATCTACATTGTAAACATGCTATATAAATAAGCATGGATTAAATTGAATTGAATAAACATGAGTGTTTTAAAACAAAAAAAAAGTGTACTCACTGGATTGAAATTTGCCATTACAGCCTGATCTTTAAAGAAGAAGCTTTGATTTACAGAGATGAAGCGCTGTTGTTTCTCTTCTGATAGTTCTGATGATTAGCAGGAAATAAAGCGTTTATAAATACCTGGATGTAAGTTTATCATTTACTAATACGATTAGTATTTAACTACAGTAGAGTGAGAGGAATTTTGTGCCTCTCTATTTTGTTTGAGAGTCTGTGAACTTCCGTATCTTCCGTATTCCTTTTTAGAAACACCATGCAGATTATTCACATGTGTATATAATTATTACTTATAAACATTTGGTTAGTTGTGGATCTTAAATGAGCATTTTCACTTACATTTCCTTATCATACTGTCCAGAATGTGACATTGAGATTATCATTAACCTAGAGCTCTCTATTTACCTTCATTTTCATTTAAATGTATACAATACAGTAAGTGTTCTCCTCTTTAACCTTGATACAACCTGATAAAAGCAGCGCCAAGGCTAATTCACATGGATTGAAGGTGTCATTGAACATTTTCAGTGTCCACAAAGATTTCATTGTGAGGACAGTTTGCTATCATGGTGTCACATTTTATAAATGGTAAATATGAGTTGCCTTAAGGTAAATCAGTAACGCAGATACTGTACATGATGTTTTAAATGTTTCAAGAAAGGTGCTATAGTGAATTTTATTAAACTTATTTGACTTTTTAACAAATAGTGTAAGAAAACAGGAGAATGATGCATTATAGACATCCCAGTGGAGGTTGTGACGACTTGAATGAGCTTTGTACTCAATTCTTTACATTTTAAAAACGTCCCAGCAAGCTACGCCTTTTTGCAGTTTTTTGTTGTCGCAAATCCACTAGAGGGCGCTGTGTACGCTTTTTTTTTAATCTCAAATTCTGCCATTCGCTTCTGCTGTTTTCGTGTAAACCCACAAAAGGCCGCTGTGTATGCTTTTTCATATCTCAAATTTTGCCATTCACGCCTCCTGTTCTTGCGTAAACCCACCAGAGGCTGCTGTCCTTATCAATCCTCTGCAATCTAAGGATGGGATGGTCCCAATATTTCCTCTTTCTTTTTCTTTTGTTAAGCAACGGATTAATTATTACGCATAGGACTTGGTGTATAAGGTTTGTGTGCATCATGGGCGTTGCTAGGCCTATCTTAGAGGGTCTGTAGCCCTCTTTATTTCTACTCAGCCCCCCTTAAACTTTTGCGATTAGCTCATAAACTGTACACTAAATTATCACCTCAGTCCCCTTCACATTTGATATGAAAACAGTGGTAGAACTCGGCTCTTCTCCATCTTTTGTTTTTCATTTGATCAGCAAACCACAGCCATGGAGAGTGAGAGAACGAGGTGTGTGTTTATTGATACATTGTTTCAATATCTGCTTATTTGCAGTTCTTTGATATAGATAACCTTGTATCATCTGTATCCCAATTTCAAAGAGGAGCAGTTGGGTTTCCTCGACGTTCACCTCACCAGCATGGCTGTTTCCTCCAGTAAAAACTCTTAACGAACATTTCGCTATTTTTATTTCAAAATGAACTACCAATATAAAACACTTTCCAGTTTGTGTGGCTATAACTATAGCATACAGTCTTGCACAGAAAGGATTAAACACAGTGACAGAAGCACTTAGAGAATGTACTCGTTATAACTGTCACTGAGTCACTGACAGAGATAGAAACATCAAGTGTTGTCTAGTATTAAAAAATACTTCTTATTTATTATTATCATTAGATCATGAAATATGTGAATTAGCCTGTTAGTTTAAATATATATATATATATATATATATATATATATATATGCGTCATTTAATTAGAAAAGTGGCAGTTTATTTATTTAATACATCATGTAAACAAAAAATGCACTTGAATATAGAGAGATAGAAGATTTTTACTACAGTAAACAGGTGGGCAGGTGGATTAAGCCTCTTTGGTCTCTTGTGCTCTCTTGTGTCTGTCTTTGTAATACAGTGGAATACTAGTACACTCTCAGAAAAAAAGGTACAATGAGGGTACAATTTTGTTCCTAGAGGGAACAAAATATAAAATTGTACCTTTAAAGGTCCCATATTGGTCTTTAGGGTACAATTTTGTACCCAAATGGGCTATAAAGGTACAAATGTCCAGATTTAGGTTTGAAAGGTACATTTTTGTACCTTTTATAGCACATTTGGATACAAAATTGTACCGTAAAGGACCAATTTGGCACCTTTAAAGGTACAATTATATATTTTGTTTCCCTATAGGAACAAAATTGTACCCTCAGCTCATGATAAGATCAAGACACTATATAAGACTAATTTAAATGTATTAATACTAAACATTAATACTAAAATACATCATTAAAAAATATAATAAATAAATAAATTGAATTAAATATTTTAATAATAAAAATTTTTTTCATGTATTTAAATTACATTTTTTCTCAAAATGTTAATAATTAAATTTATAATTGAATGTAATTTTAATCATTAAAAACGTAAATACTGGTCTTTGCTTACTGTTTAAGACCCTATAGTATATGTGATGTAGAATAAGAAGTAAGAACCATGCAGTGACAGCATCTTCATACAGGTGGTGATGTTGCTGTCTCTTTAAGAATTTGGCTTGTTGAGACGTTATAGTAGTGTTTGTTACTGAGGCGGTCGGTAGAGTATGCTGGCTGTTTACACAGAACTTCGCACGCTTTTCAAAGAAAAGTCTATTTTGGAGTCCACACTTTTCAGGTAAGAATGTATTAAAGATATATTTTCAGTGTCATTTTTACATGTGAAGCCGTGTTCTGTTAATTTTGTCTGACTCTCGGGTCTCGGCTTTCCCCGCTTTAAGTGCTCCGGACTGCCTGGTGTATGTTGGCCTGTAGGATGGAGTTTGCTAAGATTTCTGCAGCTTATTAAAGAAGTTACTACAATGTGATATCGAAGTCACCGAGGGATATAACGTTATAGACGGTGAGTACTATATGCGTTTAGTTTTCTCGGTGTAAAAGTTCCCTTTATCGCCTACGTTACGTATTCGCGCCTTATATCTTACGTTACGTTACTGCTTTATTAATAAGTGTTGCCACGGCGGAATAAATCGCAACCCAGATAGCAAAATACATTCGGGCCAGTTGCGGCTAAATTCTCGCCTGCCCGAGTCCGTCTGCTGTAACGTTACTCGGGCCAGATGCGGCGGAAGAAGCGAGCTAACGCTGCCGTATCCGTGCACCGGAATCGGGCCGTGAGTAATGTGCGGTGTGGCCCGGAGCTCGCGCGACTAAAGTCTTCATATACCTTGATATAAAACCTTTTGTTTTTAATACTGGAAATTTGTAATTATCGATAATGTTTTATATTTTGAGGCAATTTTCTAGCCACGGTTGACCGCTGAAATGTAATTTTAGACGGTTATATAAGTTACAAACACGTTACAAACGTGGCGTGTGTATGCTACATATCTTCGTTTCAGTGTCTAAGTTACATTAATGTTGAGGAGTGTCCACAAACTCTCATATCCAGAATTGTTGGTGCTTTACTATTGTTTAACGTTATACTTATGTTAATGTAGAATTATTAACATACCACAATGTATAAATCGACGTTTTAAGTTATACTTTGTTCTTTAGTGTAATAATTTGTCTCATCTGTTATGAAACTGGTACCTTGAGCTAATTTACCTATTTTATTAACATCTCAAAATAAATAAATAGTTATTGCTTTATCTTATTGCTTTTCAGAAGTTTTTGAAGTTTCCAATTGTCTTTCAGGACAAGATTGAACAACAGAATGCAGCCTAACAGCATCAGACCAATGAAGGGATGTCATATGAAAGCATGGCTCAGTTACAAGATGTAAGTATGTCTCATTATCTATTCCATGGTTTTAATGGCTTACATACTGTTTTAAATTTGTAGGTTTTTACTTACAAACAACAATAAATGTACACCCACATGTTTAAAATTATTTTCTAGGTTTTCATCGAAAGATGAGAGATCAACTGAAGAATGCTATGGTCCTGACTCTAAGGTACTCTTTCTAAACTTTCTCCACTTGATTAATATTATTAAATTCTAGCTTTGTATGGATTCCTTCATATTTGTTTGTATGCCACATCTTATGTTCCAGGAATTGATTTTACAGCAGCACTTCTCATGTTGCCAGCCTTGTTAAGCGAGACACTTCAACATTTCGTTGTGCTCAGGTGCGTATGTTGTTTTTTGTTTAGTATATGCTGTAATAAATGCATTTTATAATGCTTGATATTCTTTATATTAGGATGACGCAGTGGGTAGTGCTGTCACCTTACAGCAAGAAGGTCGCTGGTTCGAGCCTCGGCTGGGTCAGTTGGCATTTGTGTGAGGAGTTTGCATATTCTTCCAGTGTTCGTGAGGGTTTCCTCCAAGTGCTCCGGTTTCCCCACAAGTATAAAGACATGCGCTATAGCTGAATTTGGTAAGCTTATTTGTCTGTAGTGTATAAATGTGTGGTGAATAAGTGTGTCTGGATGTTTCGTAATACTGGGTTGCAGCTAGAAGGGCATCTGCTGCATAAAACATGCTGGATAAGTTGGTGGTTCATTCCACTGTGGCGACCCCAGATTAATAAAGGGACTAAGCCGAAAAGAAATTGAATGAATGAATGAAATTTATATTAGTCTTTTAATCTGTGATACGTTTTTTTTTTTATCAGTGAATATTAATTATTTTACTTTCTATGCATGTTGATTTTCTCTTCATCAGTGATAGAGTGACTGATATTAATGTAATTATTGCTTTGTCATTTACAGTGAATCATCTTCACCACATCCAACAGTTCAAGTACAGGATGAGGCCACCGACTGGACAACTGTGTTAACAAGACGAGTCACGGCAGTCTTCAGAGTTGATGGGATTGCGATTGGCCGGGCTAATGATGTGGACGAATATACATTTTTGACATATCCATCTTACTAGAAGAACACCTTGATGTTTCTGCAGTGGAATGTTTTGAATGAACGGTGGACAGTGACAAGCCTCGATCTACTCCAGTTACCAGAGTGATCAACCTTGTTTTTTGTTTCTCTACATGCTCTGGGGATAATCACAATCATCAAGTTAATCCAGCACACTGCTATCATTCATGCATAAAGCAAATTTTTAAATAATTTGTGGTCCTAATGACTTTCAAAGAACATTTTCCAGATATGAGTGCTTTACATGTCATGTTTATCAAAAGCATAAACACATATTGTGTTACAACAAATTACAACTCCACTTCAGGATGATGAGGAGTAATCTACTGATGTTGAGGAAGAGGCTACTGATGTATTCCGTTTTCTGCACTGTTGAAGCAATTTATAGAGAAAGTTTGCCTTCATTCTGAAATTCAGAGAAAATGTTGATGACAAATTATTTATTATGACTGAGTATTCTGACTAAAGACAAACACTTTGGACTTTATAAAGTGCATTACTTGATGTAGCCTGTGTAATGTGCTTATAAATCTTAAACAGTATTCTTGTGATCTTTGTGTTAAGTGTAGATTATTTAGTTTTTATTTGTTTTCTAAATTGTTCTTTTTACTGTTTTACATGTCTGCTTTATACTTGCTGTGTAATTTTATTTCTTTACACATTCAGTTGTGAGTTGTAATGAAATATTTCTACATTAATAAATAAAAATGGACATCTGTGAACCAAAATATTTTATTTAATTATTTGTGCATGCAGTCACCAAAGGATCAAAATGCCTGGGTCAGTACCCTGAAAATACTATATAATAAAAAAAGGTACATTTTTGTACCTTCAGTGTCTAGGGTACAAAATTGTCCCTTAAAGGGTACAAATGTAGAAGGTACAATTTTGTACCTTTAAAATGAGGTACAAATTTGTACCCTTAAGGGTACCACCCCAGTGACGGGCCATTTGTACCCTAAAAGGTACAATTTTGTACCTTTTTTTCTGAGAGTGTATGCAACCCATATTAAACAAACATACAAACATTTTGAAGAGTATTACTATTAAATTACTACTTATAAATGTAATATTAGGCTGCGTGTGTGTGTGTGTGTGAATTTTTTTAGGAGAAAAAAAATGAGGAGCTGAGCCCCCCTAAAATGAAAATCCTCAGATATTTATACAAAAAGAAAAGCTACATTTCAGGCTTCAGTGTACAAAAACCTTTACAGTTCATTTTTTTTCATATTTGAAGGCAGACAGCGTGAGTCAATGGCAGTGTCTCCTTCCCCTTTACAAGCAATGCACTCATTCGCACTCTCGCAGCGGTACAGAGGAACAATAGCTGCAATCTTTCTGAACTCACTCTGAAGATCTTTTCCAGTGTCAAACTTCCAGAAATTCTTGAAAACAAAAGCTTTAATCCCACCATGTTCCTTCCACTTCATCAGGCCCCCTAGAATATTGTGTTTGCTATCTGGATTCAGACATGTGTCCACACACGGGGACTCAAACGTGTAGAAAACCGAGCAGCCATCTTTTCTTTTATTCAGAAGTTTGGTCATTGGAGAGTTCCCCACAGGATTGAGCAGGAGAGACTCTGAATGCCTGTTGTATTGCTTATTTTTAGTGATCACAACTTTCCTAGTTCCTGCGGCGATGAGCTCTGCACCCTGGTAAAGTGCATTTGTTTCATCAGTAATATTGTTTTTAACAATTGCTGGTGTCTCCTGAGTCAGAAAGTTGTTCTGGTCAAGATCGAAGTCTGGTTGACACTGTTCCACTGGTACATTGATGGCTGTAGCATACTGACGGACATGGCCATCTGGATCCACCCTCTTATAGCTGTTAAAATGAGTGATTTTTATTGATTATTCACAGTTACTTTTAACTTCTCAACTTCTTCATTGTTGCTCACTTAACCATTGTTAATTCTTCAACTACGGGCACTTTTATGTCCTTTGATCATATATCCAAAAATATATATAATTTTGTTTAAATTCCTCTGCCTTTGTCAAACTAACAATAAATCCTACTTTTATTAAATAAAATTACCAGCTTTCTATTATATAATTTTCATATTAATCAAGCTCCTTTTAGGTGTCGAAATAACTGTTTTCACCTTGTCGCACACCCAGAGTTTTAAACTTCAACAATGAAAATAACACTTTAAAATAGAATTTATCTAGTATCTATTAATGTATCTTAATTAAGCACTGGTGAAATAAATTAAATACTGAATATGTAAAATAAATTAAATATTAAATAATAATAATTAAATATGAATAGTGCCATCTGAACATGTTCAAAATGGAGGGAATTTAAATTTTCATCAACAACACTTGAAAAAAATCAAGGTAAATATTGCTTGATAAGGAAAAACATTTATTCTACGTCATTTCCAAACATGTTGTACCTTCAAAGATGTTTTTAAAAACCAAACAAAATTAAGGTAAATAGGAGTGTTTTGTTTATATGACAGGCTAGTATCACTTCAAAGCCAATTAGTGAAGCTATTTTTCATTTTTTCACAATAAACTGTAGAAATGTCCTTTCCACCACTGTCATTTCCATCACTACACACATTTTTTTTTTTAAATATTTAAAAAGTTCTCATCACACATTAAAAGTGTATTCACAATGTATGAGTTCAGCTCTATTAATATACAAATTCAGTTGATTTATTTTTTAATAAGCTCTAAAACAAATTAATATTAAGTTTTAGGGCTCTATTTTAATTGTCCATGCACAAAGTGCAAGGCACTGTCACCGACTCGGTCCCAGTCATTCCCCTCGCTGGCCAGCAGAGGCCACCATCCCCGGACTTCTAAGCATTACATCATACACCTAAATTGATTGTGCACACACCTGAACTGAATCCCGGTAACGACCCATTCTCCCTATATAAGCCACACTCAAACACCAGTTTATTGCGAAGTCTTGTTCAGCCATGGCCAACATTTCTGAGCGTTATTCCCTGCCTGATCTTCTGTGCATTACCTAGTGGTGGGCAAAGCGAGGCTTTGTGAAACACTGAAACAGTCGAAGCAAATGTGTCGGAGCTTCGAAACGTTTCGAAACCCCACTCTACAGTGATATCTAGTGGTCATTTTTTATGTATTGCACTGAAACAGCTTCAGCAAAGAACAGTTGAACAAATTGAGGCATTAAACCCAACTTTGAATGTTTGATCCTTCAAGTAACAGTACAGTGGTTAAGGAGTCAGACTTCCATGCGGGGTTAGTAGGTTTCGAAGCCAGGCTGTCGCAGTTGTTTTGAAATGCTTTAATACCAATTGGTAATGCTTTGCTCTTGTATCGTTTTGTTTCAACATTGGTCTGATATCCGAATGAACAATTTGTGAATAAATATGTCGTTTTTGTCTTAAAACATGGTTGTTGCTAGATCAAAAACGGTGGCCTGAAGTTATCAAGAATTATTTATATTATTCATTAAGTTTCCCATTTATTGTATTTTATTAATGTCTACCCAAACCCTAAACCCAACCATACTGTAAAAATATTTATTATTGTTTTACAGTGTTACAAAAATGATGTTAAATTGATGGCGTAACTGCAGCTGTATCTAGGCTACACAAAACAGAAACATGATTAAAATACATAAAACCATGATTTCAGAGTATTTGTACAAGTCGGGATTCGAACCCAAAACATCATGCAAAGCATAAAATCAATTGGCAAACACATAGTCCTCTAAGCCATACGAGTCAGAGATTATTTGATGACCTTGGCAATCAAATGAGGATTCGCCAGGTCTCGAAACGTTTCTAAGCTGATCGATGCTTTGAATCGCTTTAGTCACGTGACTAGGTGTTTCGAAACACTTTAGTCACGTGACTTGGGTGCTTCGGATCATGCTTCGGTGCAGTGTTTCGAAACACTTGCGCTTCGGGATCTCGACACTGTGTCGAAACATCAGTTTCACGTCAGCCATCCCTAGCATTACCCCGGACTGTTTCTGACTCTGAGTTGCCTTCTGCCTGCCCTTGACCCACGCTTGTTACACGGACTCTGAACCTCGCTGCCTGCCCTCGACACACGCTTGTTATGCGGCCTCTGAACCACGCCGCCTTCTACTGATCTATGCCTGAGATATCACCCTGTGTCTGTCAGCCGCCAGCCCCACGACCAATCCTGATTGCTGTTGATGTGAGTTCGCACTTTAGTGCGTGTTGTATGTGTGTGATTGAACTGTCTATTAAATACTGCAAAATGGATCCCTCCGTGTCAGTCTCCTCGTTACAGGCACAAACGCTTTCAGGGCGTCTCAGAATCCACTTTTGCTAATACAAGGACAGAAAAATCCGCTTTGCGCCATGGTGCATGGTCTAAAAGGATTGAGCTTATTTTCTTAATGAGTTATAGGTGTGTTTTGAGAATAAACCAATCAGAGTCTCATCTCCAATTCCCTTTAAAAGCCAGTTGCGTTACGCCATGGCACATTTGCTATTTACGTGACGTAAAGTGTAAGTGGAAAAACTGAACATTTTACTAGCAAGAAAACAGTTAAACAGAGCATCTACAGCTTAAGAATGAGAGGTAAGCCTCCATTATCTACTTTCGCTCTTGGATAGGGAAACCTTTACGCACAGACATCAATTAGCCTATAAATTATTAATTTCATTTGTTAAGCGCAAATATTTGTTTTAAAACTATTTCTAAATTCAGTTCTAATTTCCAGCAAACGAATAAATGAACAATAATAACAGAGCATGGTCAAAATACTAAGTTATATCCTAAAACGCATGCTGTGCCCCATATTGTCTAAAACCTGACAGGTGGACAAATCTAAGCTTGTTTTTAATAAAACAAATATAATATATAATACTGCTAATAATAATAACATTATACAAAAGTAAATTGATTGAACTGAAAAAGTCTCCCGAGATGAAGGCATGAAAGTATGTTTTTTTTTTTTTTTTTTTTTAATGTATAGGCTAGAAAATAATGTTATGTACAAATTTTAATCCTTTATATATATATATATATATATATATATATATATATATATATATATATATATATATATATATATATATATATATATATACTCAATATTTTAATTACTTTCCAAATGTAAAGATTTGCGTATTGCTCTACGTATTGTGTATTAAGCAGTGTGTAAGCGAGGCGCACAACTATAACACGATTTGCGCTGGACCAGCTTTGTACTGGTCTAAAGAACAGACTATTATAGTTTCTCAAAATAGCAACGCGCCAAAATACGCCTGCTTTTTTAGATCAGAACGCCACACATATGAGCGCAAATGCATTTGCTATTTAAACAGCGTGGTGCAAAACGTCAAAATGACCCTTGCGCTGAGCTGAAACTAGCAAAAAACAACTGCGTCGCGCCTTGCCCCACATTGCAGCGGGTGTATGATAGGGCCCTTAGAGTGTGACAGGTGTACAATTCAGCATACAACTAATGTATTTCATTGACAAGTGTATAATTATTATATATATTGTAGAAAGATTGGTTAAACTAGATACAAAAATGACCTTAGACAATGTTTGACTGCTATAATTGATTTCATTTTGACGTAAGCTGTATATTGAGATGTGCTGGAATTGACATTTGTTCAGTTCACGATGGAAAAAATGTTCCTCTTCTTAACTAAGTTTGTCCTCTTACAGATCTTAAAACTACACAAATAGTTTAAACTTATGAGGCTGTTACGTTAATTTTGAACAAGTTTTTTTTACTCAACTTCACAAGGCTAAAAGTGCCCGTAGTTGAAGAATGGCTGCTGTCTTTAACTTTTAATGAAAACTTCTTTTAATACTTACTTCTGCTCAAAGAAGTTGATAATGCGAGCGAGAGTGTTGATGTCCACGGATTTAACACTTTGTCCTTTAACACTTTCTTCTTCAGCACTTTCATCTTTCATTCCTTCTTCTTCAACACTTTCTGTCCAGTTGGGAAGCAGAAAGAGCAGCAGGAGTCCATTCAGAAACAAAGTGAACTTCTAAAGTCACAAAACACACACAAATACATTCATTTATTAATATATAAACAAGGAGCATAGTCAAGAGCAATAATACATTTAAAAGTGACAGAAACCAAACTCTCGCTAACACTTACCATGATTGTTGCTGCTCTGTCTGTCTGTCTGTCTGAAGTGACTGAAAGGAGTGACAAGACTGAAAGATCTGACTGGGAGACCCTTTATAAAGGGCTACTGCAGGAAAGAGAAGATACTTAAATTGCAACCAAACCTGAAAATCCATCATTTTTCACAGATGACATGTCCACACGGGCTACAGGATTTCAGGTGAAACAGTAGAATGAAGTTGTGACATATGCGAGGCATAGATTTCCTATTTCCTCCTATTGCATAAGCGTCGACTAAACTATGGGGAAAATGCATCTCTGTACATGACATGTTGTGAAATTAACAAATTAGTTCAGTGCAGTTCAGTGAAACAAGACTGTACAACAGAGAACAAGACTGTTCAACTGAAAATATTCAACGACTTCCTGCCTGCTCTACACTTTGACCTTATGAGACAAATGGTCCATCTATGTTAATTATAATAATAATTCTAAACTGAAATTGTAATATTATTGGTAATATTAATAATTTTAAAAATCCTGGTTGCCTTAAATTTTTAAGCTGAATCAAGGTAACCTAATGATTCCATTAAACTCAAATTAAGTTAAACTGACTTAACTTTCCTGTAGTGTTCAGGTCAAACCTGACCGATTTACAACTTAAATCACTCATAAATACTGTGTTTTACATCTGATTGCCTCAAGGCCTTATGATATTCTCCACGCTCTGCATTTGCACATATAAAATTGATGATCATCTCTTTCATTAAATTGAGTGTTTTAATCAATCTTGTTACACCTGTGGTGTTCCCGGTCAAAAATGACCGCCATAGGAAATGAATGGGTATTCAGGCTATATTCATTCATCAGAGAGAAAGCATCGCCCCACACACACTCACCCACTTACTCACTCACTTACTCACTTCAGACTGAACAATGTCTTTTGCAAGTACACATCTCTTTTACGCACTTATGTGCTAATCTCACAAGGAAGCATACCTATTTTACGTTTTGTCAGTTGAGTGGCTAATTCATACAAATGTTCAGTTGTACAAAATTGTATGATTTTTGAAAGGAGGCGTGGCACACAACCCCACTCCTAAACCCAATCGTCATTGGGGATAAGCAAATTATACAAAACTGTATGAATGAGATTATACAAACTCATATGGATTAGCTACTAAACCAATAAGTTATGAATTGCCATGGAAGTGTTGGATCATCCAACGTGAATCAACTTCCTGATAAAACAGTATATCATATCTTCACAGACTCTAATCTTATTCTTTTTGTTTATTTATCTATTTATTTATTTATTTATTTATTTATTTATTTATTTATTTATTTATTTATTTATTTCTCTCTGGAAAGTAGCACAGAGAAGGAGTCTTGTTCTTGTTCTTTCTTTCTTCCAATCTCCGTTCAGCCCATCTCTGAGTCTAGCAGGAGCACTTTTAGCTTAGCTCAGCAACAATTATTTTATTATATTAGACTGTTACTAACTCGCTTATATATACCAGTATAACTAGTGCTAGTTTTGTGTCCCTGCTCGCCGTATATACCCTCAGTCACTATTACCTATATTAGTACACTTGAAGGACTGAAACTTCGATCCCTCAGAACACAGGAAAGGACAGCATTTTGTTTGTGCTTTGCTGGTTGATAAATCATTCAGATGAATTAAAATTTCAATTTCTTTGGTCAGACCCTGTGATAGTTATTTTAGTTAGCTGTATATTAGCAATGAAACAAGGTATTTTGATTTCTGTCATCTATTGTTCATTTTGTAATATATTTTCAGCGACTATTTTTATTTTCATTGCAGTTATTTTATCTCTGATTCTGTAAATTCATGTTAAACACTACTTTGAGACATTGTTCACAGCTAAAGAATATTGAATAAAAATTTGGTGGAGAAAAATGATGTTTGTGCTAATATAAGAGCAGTTTAAACAGACCGGTCAATTTTGACCAGGAACACTAAAGTAAGGGGCAGGATGTGAACATGACAGGATGGTTAAAACAGCTCACGCAACTTATAAAATTAAGGTTGTACATAATGATGTTAGTTTCAAGAGTTCACACTTAGCTGATGATTGATCATGAAGCTTGTTTGGCATCCTGTCCCGGGAGAGAGCCCTGAGCTCATTAGATCCTCAAGCCTGGGGCTCCCTCCCGTTGCAAGGCGAGAGAGGAGTTTGAGCTCAGGTAGATCTCAAGAACTCCCCTGCTGTAATAGCTAATGAACAGATAGTGACTGCTCTTAAGAGATAACTACTTACAAGGTGCGTGTCTAAGGTACCGATTTGGATTAGTTAATTAACTTAAGTTGCGTGTTTTTGGACGGTGAGAGGAAACCGGGGAATCCGGGGGAAACCCACGTGAGCATGGGGAGAACGTGTAAACTCTGCACAGAAACGTCGGCTGGCTTGGTAAGGACTAGAACCAGTGCTGTGAGGCAACAGTGCTAACCACTGGGCCATCGTGTCACCCATTTTAAAAGGTCCAAATCATTCAGACAGTTAAGTAGAAGATATCAGGCTTTACTTTTCTGTTTCATTGACTGTATTTAATAAGCAATGCAATCATTGTGGGCTGGTTTGCAATGGCAATACTCCACCATTTAGAGCAAGGTAGGGCCCCAAAACTATTCTGCTTAGGGCCCCCAAATGTACAGGGCCGGCCCTGTTTGGACACAATGGGTTTTTGGATGAATTGTTAAATATTCCTGGTTGCATCTAAGTTGATTCACTTAATTAAAAATGGTGCATATTAAATTAAAATGGCATTTTTTTAACCCAGATGATGTTCTGTATTATGCTTTTTAATGATCTTGCTTTTTATCATTCTGGGTTACACTTATAGACAATATATGAGTTGCTTCATTCTGATGAACATTCTAAGATGTGCTTTTTCTTGATTCTGATTGGCTGAAAGGTGTGCAATAATATAATATAATGCACAGGTAGTTTCAGTCAGCTTTGATCACAGTTCAAGATAAATGTGCCACCCTCAGACATTAGTGACACACCAGTAACACACTAATGTTGCAGTATATCATTTTTCCTCAATGATTTCAGTTATTTCACCACAGTAAAAAAAAAAATCTAATCAAATAAAACAGAAGGCTTTAGGTGCAAGAAACCGGTCCTACCCACACGAGCAGTTTGAGGACAAAAACCTGTTTGAAATACAATGGACAATGCTTATATGTGGGAATTAGGGATGTGCGGAGCAGCCGGTATTTGTATTTGTATTTGTATTTGTTGAGAGGGGAAAAGTATTTGTATTTGTATTTGTATTCGAGTAAAATTCAAAATGGCGCAAAAATATCTATTTTTTCTATTACACTTCTAATTTACGTTATAGTGAAAGTATTGTTTAATTATACCCATTATATAAATTATAGATATGCAATATTGGCTGTTGTTTTTGAACATGTGATAAGAAATGTAATTGAAAAGAAAATAACATAGAAACCATTATCTCATCTATGGTTAAACCAACAACTAATAAAATACCATTGTGAATATTATGAACCCCACCACCACCGTTCTTGTTGAAGGACACTGAATAGACAGAATAAAAACAAATAATACTTCAAAAAACTGTTCTTCTTCTGAAAGAACTTTTTTTCCAATGGACAGAATTCCAAAAACTAATATTAACTAAATAAATCTAAATAAAACCCTGCCCGGGAGATCTGGCAGAACAAAAGTATTCTATATAATAATAAAAGATACAGGCCTGATATTATCATCTGCCAGCCACAAAAAAGACACAAAGTTTGTTTGTTTGTTTATTTAGAGATATCTGCAAATATTTTTCAATAGAAGTCAATGGAGGAATATGACTAGTCAGTCATAATATATTTGCAGATATTTCCAATCTGACTAGTCGAATTATAATTATGACAAGTCAAAATATAATTAGAGATATCTCTAAATATATTTATGGATAGTCTGAACAAGGTTTAAATGCTAAAACGGCTTGCCATACGCTCTCACCCAGTAGCACAGTGGAGAGTTCTCTAGTTATATCCTTTCAGTCGTTTGTTATGCAGTGACATGCAGTCAAATATTTCGCCAAACAGTCCTTAGGGATGCGGTGACACGCAGTCAGATATTTCACCAAACAGATCCGCCACTTTTGGCGCTCATAAACAATCATAAAGCTCTCGTGCTGCAGGAATGAGGAGGTCTGCTGAAGGCGCGCTGCTGACGTGCAGTGAGAGGTTTGCGTCTTTAATAAACTACGCCAGTTTGCGTTCACTGAACAGTAAGAATGGTAAATAAATTCATATGAAACAACCCCTTAAAAGTCACGTCTCGCTTTCAGTTTCGGGCTTTGGTGCGTTTTGCACTGAGCGTGTGTGTGTGTGTGTGTCTCTCTCTCTCTCTCTCTCTCTCTCTCTCTCTCACTCACTCTCTCTCTCTCTCTCTCTCTCTCACGCGTGCATGCACTGTGGTCTCATGAGGAAACGCTGCTTTTTGATATAGTGTTTTTCTTGCTCCCGAATACAAATCATTTTTCAAGTATTTGTTCGAATTAAGTATTCGTAAAAACACGCTATTCGTGCCTTTCCGAATACCGTATTCGGGTTCGGCTCCACCCTTAGTGGGAATCATATAAGTGGAATACATGACTCAGGTGTGTTAAATTATTATAATGTGCACTGTGCTCATGTCCAAATCACCACCTCTGATGTGCATTATTTTTTAATAATTGATCACTTACCATTAATTAATCCTTACAAATTTCATTCTTATTATTTTAGGTTGAACACTTGGAGCATTAAACTTAATAGGACGACATGACAGCAGAACTGAATGCAAAATCACATGTCCCTTCAGACACCAGGGATTTTTAAACAAATTATCAAACAGACAAAATGGTGAGCAGACGTTTATTTCTTCAAGCGTGATTTATTAAACAATGAAAAATAATCAAACAAGCATTTTAAACACAGATTATCAAAATACATTGTAATAAGAATCTCTCTTAAATTAGTTACTTGATTAAATAAGTCTCAAATGAAAGGGGCTGATTTACTTAACCCCTAAAAGAAAGAACTCATTATTGAGAAACATTTTAAACGAAAAAGCTAAAGGTAGCGTAGGTGTATGAAATGATCCATTTGAGCATTAAAATGTATCATCAAAAGTCTCAGCAGATGCAGAAACTCCAGTGCAGAAGCACACATCAGTTAA